TTTTTGGTTACGGATTATGCTGCCATGAAACAAGAGAAGCACAAAGGGGGAACCGGTACTCAGCTCAGAGGCGACACCTGACAGCCCCGAGGTCGCCCCTGCTGCATTCTCGCCATCTCTCTCTCTCTCTCTCTTTGGTGGTGGGATTATGTTTGAGGGTCTGGGCGGGGGTAAGTGGTGAAAATAATGTCTGGGTCTGGGCAGGTCTGGTTGCAACTTTTCAACAAGGCCTAGGCGCGGGCGGGCCCGGGTTTGTACGCTCAAATCGGGCGCAGCTGCGGCTGGGCCAGGTTGTGAGGATTTTTAAACAGCAGTTTTGGCTGGCTACGACTGCCAAATATTATGGATGTCCAATATGGGTTGGGCGTGGCTGTAGGAAAAGTAGAAGTTTGCGAGCTCTGATACTTACTAAACCTGTCAACAATGACCATAACTTGCGTTTTTCCATTTCTGCTTTTTACCTTGGTGTCCAAAAAAAGTCAAATAGACACAGAGTCTCCCGGACTTGTTGGGATTGGCAAAGGCTTCAATAAACCAAGGGGAGGCTGAGTAGTGCTCTTATTCCTTTGACACACTTGACAGCCCTGCACATAAGCGATGCAGTCGGGTTTCATACGAGGCCAAGTGTAGGAACACAAAAGGTTTGCATATGTCTTTTTCCACCCGAAATGACCTTCAGTGTCATGACATTCCCCCAAGATTAGACTTTTGATCTCTTCCACATTTGGAATACAAAGCCTATTATGCACATCAGTCTGCTCAAACAACAGTCCTTGTGTAATTCGATAGTTAGGAAATTCTTGTGGCGCTTCTTGCATACGCTTAATCATAGCGCCATAAACAGGATCTGTTGAATACGCTTTTCTAATCTTCTCTTGCACATCGGTGCCCACATCGAAATATGTTACAATGGCACCGAAGAAATCAAATCTCCGACTTAATGCATCAGCGAGAACATTATATTTCCCCTTGACTGGCTTTAGTTCAAAATCATACTGATCAATCTCAGCGGCCCACCTAGTCAACTTAGGTTTCATCCGGGCCTGTGTTTTAAGTCAACGAAGAGTCTCATGATCTAAGTACACCTTGAAGTGGCGTCCTAAGAGATAATGTCGCCAGTGATCTAAAGCTTCGTGGAGAGCAAACAACTCCCTCTCATACGTAGAAGCGGCGACTTTCTCATTAAGCAGTCGTCGGAACATAAATTCAACAGACCTGTATCCATTACCGTCGTCCTGTTGTAGTACAGCGGCTATCTCGTACTGACTGTTGTCGGTTGTGACGACAAAGGGCAAAGAAGGATCAACAACCTTCAAAACCGGATAATTAATTAGACATTTTTTTAGACGCTTGAACGAAGCCGTACAATCTGGGTCCCACTTCCAGATGGTTTCTTTCTTCAACAATCTGGGAAGGGGTGCAACAATTATCGTGAAGTGTCGAACGAACTTCCGATAATAGTGGGCTAGCTCAAGGAATGACCGCAACTCAGTCAAAGTGCGGGGGTTAGGCCAATCGCGAATTGCTGCAATCTTTGCGTCTTCCAGTTTGATCCTATCACCATCAAGCACATGCCCCAGATATAAAACCTGACGCTTAGCCCACTCACACTTCTTGGGGTTCAATTTCAATTTTGCCTCACGTAATTTATTTAGCACAAGTCGAAGATGCTCACAATGTTATTTTCGATCTTTACTAAAAATCAAAATATCATCAAGATAAACAACGACAAATTTATCAAGCCACTCGCGGAAAAGTTCATTCATCGTTCTTTGGAAAGTTGCAGGGGCATTCGTAAGACCAAAGGGCAACACAATGAACTCATAATGACCATACCTTGTTCGAAAGGCAGTCTTGCATTGGTCTTCTGACTCTACCTCAATCTGCTGGTAGCCAGACTTCAAATCAATCTTAGTGAAGTACTTGCTACCCTGCACTCGATCCAACAAATCGTCTATTATCGGCAGTGGTTCAACATTTTTAACTGTTATATCATTCAATCGTCTATAATCTATGCACATGCGAACCTCGCCATCTTTCTTTGGCACAAATAGCACTGGCGCACCATAAGGAGAGGAACTAGGTCTTATCCATCCCTTTTCCAGCATGTCATCGAGCTGGGTTCGCAGTTCATCCAATTCTTTGGGTGACATTCTATATGTAGGCCCCTTGGGAATCTGGCTTCTTGCTACAATCTCAATGCGATGTTTGATTGGTCGTTCCACCACACCGCTTGGGGCCTTTGCCACATCT